AGGGCGTCGCTTTTGGAATGTCCATCTAAAGAACTCAATCCTTACACCAAATCAATTTGTTCGATGCTGTCTTCACTGCAGGCTCAACACTGCGACAGTGTCTGCGTCTGACGATGGAGATCGCATTCTCCGTGAGTTGTGTGTGTGTGTGCGTGTGTGTGCGTGCGCGCATGTTTGCGCATGTGGGCGTATGTATATGTGCGTGTGACCGTATGTATGCGTGTGTGTGTGCGTGCGTGCGTAGCCCTCGCACTCACCCCATTTGCGCGTAATTTGACACTTCATGTCTTGGTTGCAGTGGCGTGGATGGCGGATGATGGCGTGTATGCGGCCGTGTCGAACGCAGAGTCTGTCAAGAACGGGGATCTCGGCACGCCGTCCAAGGTCTTCAACAAGACCTTGGCGCAGAGTGGATCGGTGACTGTTGACATGAACCACGCCGGGTACAGTGGCTGGATTCTCGTGTCACAAGCCACCGTCGTCGCCGGCGGCGCCCGCTGCACCATCAGTGCCATTCGCTGGGAAGGTGAGACCTTCAAGCCCCACATTCTACGATAAGACCTGTGTATTGAGACATACTCGTGTGTTTGCCACCGTTGATGCATTGGCCACTCGAAGCACAGCAGCAAACCCTATCTGAAACGCACGCTTTGGCCTTACCTCAACACTTCTTGCTTGCTTGCATGCATTTCGCGCTGCAGGGACGTTTGAGTTGCCCACCACCATCATCAGCTTGGGTGTCGCTGACAAGGTGTGCCAGTCACTGCTGCAGTTGTTGTCTTTGTGTACACGTTCTTCCACTGGCGCATTATCTCAATCTTTTGCTCACACCATGCGTGTTGGTGTCATGCACGGTTATTCGTGTGTGTGTGTGTGTGTGTGTGTGTGTGTGTGTGTGTGTGTGTGTGTGTGTGTGTGTGTGTTCTTAGCTGGCCTGTGGTCTTGACAGCATGACTGTCACGGTTGCCGACGATGGCAGCGCCGTCAACGCCCTCTTTGCATATCGACGTGCGTTGTCCATGTGGCCACTGCACGCACTATCCTGTTACCATTGTTGTACTTCGCGCATAGCCCTTGAACCGACAAAGTCTTGTTTGACTTGTTCATTCTGTCGCAATTCGTTTGTCATGCGTATTGATCGGTTTGCTCGCTTACACACACACACACACACACACACACATACACACACACACACACGCACACTTACCCTACATGTCCGTGTGCCTACAGCCGACGCGGGCTCGAACGACGCCAAGGCGATCAACCTTGCGTGGGACGCGGCCAACGGGTGGTCTCCAAACTACATCTGCTGCGATCCCGGTCTGCACACCTTTGCCTCGCCAGCCACGTTTGATGTTGGCACAGATGCCATTGGCAACACGGCGATTGCCAGCTTTGTCGTGGCCAACGACGACCTGACCTCGTATCGGCTGAAGACGGTTGCTGTCACGGGCGCCACCACCCTCTACACCGCATCCCTCCCGCTTCCGGGCACCGCAGAGGTGTGCCATTGCGCCGGCTCTCAACACTGGCTGCTCGGGTTGCAGTGTGCGCACGCAAGACACGGAGAGAGCGCGTGCACTCGTGTGTGTGTGTGTGTGTGTGTGTGTGTGTGTGTGTGTGTGTGTGTGTGTGTGTGTGTGTGTGTGTATGTGTGTGTGTGTGTGTGTGTGTACGCGAGCTTATTTTGTGTGATTTTGTGTCCTTCCGCGCCTGCAGGTCTCTGTTGCCGCTGTTGACTCCGGCAACACCATCATCACACTCGTCAACAATGGCTCAACCATCGTCGCAGGTCAGTGTTGCGCATATTATGTGCGCGCACGCATGTGAAGTGTGTATGCATGTGTGCGTGTGTGCGGGTTGCGTGCGGGTTGCATACGTCCTTTCTTTCCATGGCATCACAGCACCGAGCTGACATTGCGTCTCTCCCAACACCGCCGTGTGTGCGTGCTTGTGCGTGCGTGTGTGCGTGTGTGCATGTGCGTGCGTGTGCATGCGTGCGTGTAGTTCGCTATGATATTGATGCGCAGCGGCAGCGGGAGCTTGGCCTCGTGTACCGGGCCGGTGCCGGGGAGGACATAGTGAACATGCAGCACGCAATCACAAACAACCGCGACGTCACCATCGCCTTCCAGCAGCGAAACCTCAACACAGACACGTCATACGTCTGCCAGGTGCGTGCGTCGTGTGTATGTGTATGTGTGTGTATGTGTGTGTGTGTGTATGTGCTTGTATGTGCTTGTATGTGTGTGTGTGTGTGTTTGTGCGTCGTGTGTGACGACCCTTCCACTCATCTGTCCAGTGCGAGAGAGTGGACACCCACCACTGCTCGCGATCAATGACCAACAGTGCTCCATCTTCGCCATGATCACGATCGACGGTACAGGTGACGCTGGACGCGGTGCTGTGCACATCGCCGCTGCAGCTCAACACCCGCACGTCCGACTCACCCTCGGACAACCTCAACATCGCGGGCTTCTCCAGCGTCGTCGCTATTGCA